TTCTTGGCCATAAGGGCACATTGCTGGCTAATGGTCAACTTACTGTCCACCAGCACTCCCAGGTCATTCCCCGCCAGGCTGCTCTCCAGCAGGTCAACCCCCAGCCTGCACTGGAGCATGGGGCTGTTCCTCCCCAGGTGCAGGACCCTACACTTGCCCTTGTCGAACTTCATCAGGTTCCTCTCTGCCCAACTCTTCCATCTGTCCAGGTCTCGCTGAATGGCAGCGCAGCCTTCCAGTGTATCAGCCACTCCTCCCAGTTTTGTATCGTCAGTGGACTTGCTGAGGGTACGCTCTGTCCCTTCATCCAGGTCGTTGATGAATAGGCTAAACAAGACCAGACCCAGAACCGACCCCTGAGGAACACCACCAGCTACAAGCCTCCAACCGGACTCTGCACTGCTGAGCACGACCCTCTGGGCTCTGCCATTCGGACACTTCTCAATCCACCTCCCTGTCTCTCGCAATAGAGACAACTCGCCTGGATACCAGAGGACATGTTTACTCACCAAACCGTTTTCTTGTCCACCAGTGTGGCTCTTTGATTGCTGAGAACCGAACGTCAGGGTGCAGCCTGAGCCGGTCATACAGGTCCGTCGTCCCACACTTGGGCTGGCCAATGATGTAGAAATGGGGGAGACAGCGCAGGCGGTAGTGTTTGTCCTTATAATGGTATAAGTGGTTCCAAAATACCTTCCTGAGGTAATCGAATATGGTTCGAAAGCGCTTTGAATACAGTGCATAGGAGTTTGTTGCATAAGGGTCTGTGGTTGTGTTTCCTCTGTACTCTTCATACCAACAAGGATTCTTGCTATTTGGAAGGAATTTATTAGGAATTACTGAAAACATCTGCAACATAAAGAATAACACTTTCAGTCAAGGCAGCAAAAAATTGAGAGTTATACTTCTCTAACTTTGCATAGTAAGAGAACACAATAGAAATATTACACAGGCATTTTTAACCCTTATTTATTTAACTACAAAGTTGACCCTACTTATTTCTTCTGATGACACTGGAAACAGATTCCGTACAAACAGTTGCACTGGGAGAGAAGTACACTGAGAAATTCTTTGATTTTAAGAACAGTAAAGACCTCAATAATATCCCAACTCCCCTGCAATCCCAGAAGTAATTTTTTGAAGTCAAACACATAATGCTCAAATCAAATTAAATTCCAGTATTTAACTCTGAAATACAAGGTTTGCAATGACCGGACTCTCAGGAAGGCACACCAGTAATCAGTTGTTAGAAAGGCTCTTTTCTTATTTATCATTTAAGGTGGCTGGCAAACCTAAGTCAGAATGATTTTATGTGAGACAAGGTAAAAATTCAATGAGATTGTACAGGTATCAGAAGACTGCCTGATTTTTTATTTCAGGCGCCAAGACCATATATACAACCCATCTATTTTGCCCATGAGTCAGAAGGACGTGATCTATAGTATCAACTTTTCAGCTGGTGTAAATCAGGAGGTTCTAGATGGTCTAAATCACCGTATGAACATCTGAGTAGTCACACTTTTTTATCTCAGTAAAAGATTGACCCAAAAGTCTTGAAATAAGCAAGTATACAGCAGCGTAAGACACATTTCAATTCATACTTACATGTGGTTCTTGTTTCTTCAGTTCTTCTAAATCAGGGCGCTGTCTGGTCATAAACTCTATTTTAGAAGTAATAGTGTCAATAATTAATTTAATGCTTGGATAATCCTTTACGTATGAAATATTCATTTTAGAAGGCTGGTAATGGTCTTTCATGTCACTAAGGCTTTCATTGTCCATTAAGCTTGGATTGCTAGTAAAAGCTCCGTAATGGAAGGGAGACGGTATTAACAGTAGGCCGTGTTTGGCTCCAGTCAGTATGTAGGATGCCATCACTAGAGTCATTATAATCAACCCAAATATTAAGCTGCATAGCTTCCCCTTCCTCAAGCAGAAAAATCCATTCCAGCTTTCACCATGATCAGTCCTTACTTCCAAAACTGCAAGCAACTTCATCTGCTTGCTATCAGTGTACAAAGGGATCTTATTTTCTCCTTTACAAACAGGACACTTCTGGTTATTATGATTAGGTCCACGGCATCTGAAACACTGTCTGTGCAAGTCATTTGCTAATAAATGTATGCAACAATTAATGCAATACCTCATATTACTACTGTTAAAACTCCTGTATTAATGAGCCAAGCACAGCCATAAAAATGTTTCTGATGCATATGAGTCATCTTCTACAAGTCTGAAATTATTTAGTTCCTTGAGTGATTCTATGACTACTCAGCAATGCAAAAGGACAGGTTCAAACCAGAACAGGTAAAAGCACCCAAAAAGTGACATATGTCACATAAAGAAAAAAATCCAACAACCAACACACAAAAATAGATGTACTGTGGATGTGGTTTCCAAGAATTTGGCTCAATAAGACAAATGTGGTGAAGTAAGAATCAGTCACACAGCTGTCTCAAGTTTTCCCCATTGAACAAAATGAGAAGGAAGAAAAATTGTTATGTAGTGTGAAAATATGCAAAAAATAAAAATAACTCATTGTCCTCTGATTTACGCTGGCATAGGCAATTATGGGTAGAAATTCCCAGGTATTCTTAAAACAAGCGGGTTCCAAACCGGACTGCTGCTACTGGAAGCTTCATCTTCCCAGAGGTGGTTTCAAAGATTTGCATTGTACAACCTAGAGAAACAAAAACACACATGTAGATATACACAGAACAGCAGACATAATATCTACATTCACGTTCATTCAAAGCTATAGCAAAGTACAATCTACCACAAGTAATTTCACAATTCTATTTGAAAGATGTCTTCTATTTGCCAAGTATACTAAAGCACTCACGATATTAAACCCAGAAAATGTTTGGCTTCAAGTTCACAGCAAGCTGCCCTTTCTTTTCAATCACCCATCTGCTTACATCAACAAACAAGTTGCTACCACAGGTAATACTACGCGACTTCCCTCAGCTCTTCACTAACAGATCTTAATCTGCTCTTTAAATGTGGAAGCATTTTTGGACAGTGTCCAGTAACACAGGTTTAAATATTTACACTCTATCTGTACTTGGGGACCTTAAATTAACTGTCCTGAAGTGGGGTAGAACCCTAGTTAAGAGAACAAGGCAGGGATAAGAGAAGAGTCTCCTTTCAAGCATATGAGAGAAAAAGCCAAACAAAATCCAAAAGCCACAAGTAAAACATTCAGCGAATTGAATATTCAGTTCAGAGATACGAGCAAAGGCTCATGACAGGATCTCTGGTTTCTGGACCAAATGATTCTGGGACAAGAGTAACCACCCACAACACACAGCAAAGTCACCAAGATACTTTCAGCACTACAAGCCAAAGACGTTTTGAAAACATAGTACTCTCTAAAAAGGGCAAGATGTGTTCCTTACATGAAATGTACCATCAGTACTGCAACTTCAAGGCAACACCCTGGATCCAGCAAATCCTTTTAATGGTGTGCACTTCGGTCCTGGAGAGGTCAGGCAGAAAACACAGGAGCAGATGTCCCCTTGCTACAAGACAGGCATCACGGGCAGGGACTTGGGCACTCGTGTGTCCCATGAAGGTCTCCACGTTTACGCAGACCAGGGGCTGAAGCACCCTGTGGCACAGGGTACGTGCTATCCTCCTTCAAACGCTTCAACACCACGGCTGCTTACAGCCAAAGGGTAACCTGAGTTGTTTAAAGTATTTATGTCAAGCTTCAGTCTTGGTTTGAGTGCATCCATGCTTGGCTTTCCAGGCAGCATTCAGAGCAGAGACGCTTGAAGTCACAAACAAGTCATCAGCTTAAGGATGGTCTTAATTAAAGCATATTTATGCATAGTTGCTCTAGAATTTCTGTTTTCATCGTTTATTAAATACCTTACCAGAACTACCCACATTTTAAGGTCAAAATCAACTCTCTATTTTGAGAAGCTGGATTATCAAATAAAAAATTCGCAGATAATATACCTTCTTCTACATACTAGAAAATATTTTTATTTTCTAGAATTACTTTTCTGAAGGAACTAAAGACAGGAAATATTTTAAAACAATCTTGAAAAGTCAGAAGCAAAACAATAAACTGGCATAGGATGAAAAGGAAAAGAAAAAGATTGGGAAAATGTAAGGGGCAGTAGTAACATATGGCTCTGGCAAGCAACTTCTATTTTGACTTTTATCACCTGATAAAGACAGAACTTCCCTTCGGCCTCTGGGAATGAAGATACCTTAAGGCTCCAGTGCTGTGACGCTCCTTGTCCATCCCAACATGGACACCCATGAAAGCAGTGACCCAGTTCCCCTCTCAACACCTCCCTTTCCTCAGCATCCCAGCAGGACCTGGTCTGCCACAACCCACTTTTCAACCCTTCAGCAGACAACCCCAGTATTAACCTGAATAATTACCCCGAAGGTTAATTACAAACAGTTTTAACCATATTGTGACTAAGAGGCTCAATATTGCCTCTGAAGAATAGAAAAAGGACTGGCCCTTCTGTGCGAGGCCATGTATAAAACCTAACACTTTACTGCAGATAAAAGAAGCAGCTGCAGAAGTTGGAAGAATTCAGGAGCACGACAGCTTCAACTGAACAGAATGTATCTTTTGCCCAGAAGACTATGGATGATGAAATGCTAATTAATTAAAATTATTTTTCAGATGAAGTTAATCTGTGTTATAATTAACTTCACTAGACCAGAGAACCAGCTTATTACTTTATGGGATATCTAAAGGTCCAACATTCACTTTTACTACTTAAATGAAAATACATTTTCCAAGTCACCTTAATCAACGTATGAAATAGAAGAGATGTTTGACAATTCACACGTACCAAAAATTAGTGTACTATCAGAGTAACACAAAAAAATCAGTACCGTTATAATTCTCATACAGGTACAGCTCTCCTAGTTTAAATACACCTCAGCAACCACATAGAAATTTTTTTCTCATTACTTTTGGCCGGTGGCTCCTTCCTCTGGACCCACAGCAGTTGCTCCTTCTCTACAAAAATCCATCTTTCCTTTTGAAGCTCAGAAATGCTTTTTCTCTGCATCGTTTCCAAATATCTTTCTTTCTTCCCTATCCTACAGTGCTCTTCATTCCACCCAAAACCACCTAAGTTAACTCATCCTTTTGAACACCTGTATCTTCAGCAGAAATCTATTGTCCGACTTTGTCCTTTGGTTTCTGAGAAACAACTCAGACTTACACATTTCTGAAGTGCACATTTGTATACTGTCCAAGACACCAATAATGAAAATAGTTTCTCATGACGATACAATGGATACACAAAGGGTCCCCTGATCACTCCCACAACACATCAAATCACAGAAGTATAATAATTACTAATTATGAGTCCCAGAATTTGGCTATTTTGCCTTTAGCTCTTTCAACTCTTATTTTTAATTCCTAAGAAACATTGCTATGATTCTAGATAATAACTCCTGGTTCATTCCTACAAAAGAATCCAGATCAAATGGGGCAGTCACTTCAGATCCTGCATTAATCATCATTCTCCTAGCTGCATTTTTGTACGAGACAAAGTGCTTCTGTAAAGTTATTTGTATTGTTGATGTTTCTGCCACCTAACACTGTCGCATATTGGAGGATTTCTGCAATCACAGCAAGCAGGCTGTGTCTCAAGGACTCAAGAATAATTATTTAGATAAATACTGAACAAAAGTATTTGCAAAATACCTTCCTACAAAAGTAAGCTCATTTCCTTAATTAGTTTATTTTACAAGTCAGATGAGGCAGACAGAAATCATAGCATAATTATTACTGACTATATTTAAACCAAAGGGAAAGAAATCAGTGTAAAACTTCTCAAAGAAACTGGTCTTAAAAACTTTTCTGAATAAATGGACCTGTGTTGATTTTGACAGAAGCTTGAACGACTAGAGAAACTAAACAAGATTCATATGTGTCATACTAAACCCAGAAAGGTTATGGTTTCTTATACATAAAATACCATCACCCCTCAAATGAATGTCCAAAATAAAAAGGAGCCGAGATTTAAAGCAGGAAAGAGCTCGATGGTTGTCCAAACACCACTGACGGTCCTAATGGCTGGAGAGAAGGCGGACAAGAACGGGAGGTCCTGACAGGACGTGAAAAGTTTCCACTTTACAACTAAACATTTCAGGCAGCATTAAGAACCTGAGCAAAGATTTTCAAAGAAGCAAAGGAGGCAAGAGACAGAGATACTGCCAGGGAAGGTTCAGACATCATCCGTGGGGTAATAGAGGAAATTATGAAAGCAGAGATAGTTCCAAAAAAAAGACTATAGAAAAAGAGAGGATGGAGATGAGGGCTCTCATAACAAAAGGCAAGAAAAAGCACCTCTTAAAAAAGATGCACAAAGAAGAGACTACAGGTTACTGTCGTAGCTATAAAAAGATCTGGTAACCAGAAGGTACCCAACAGCATCACTTCAATTAAATTTATCATGTGTTACACGTTTATTTTTGTGCAATCCTTCCACCCTGAACTCCTCCACTTTGACATCCAGTGAGTATCTCAATATTCTCGCAGATCTCTGCTCTCCAGCTCCTTGCTGTTTATTTTCAGAGGAACCAGTTACTACGCACTGTCTATTTAGGGAAAAAAAAAAAAAAATTCCAATTTATTTTCCAGACCTTTTCTAACTGGGATCTGAACTTGCTCAGTGATACTGACTGAACAGATTTATCTGAGATAGTCTTGCAGAATCAGTTCAAGACTTGTGTATTTGATATTCTCAAATTTTTTAAAAAGAGTTATCAAAGATACATTAATGAATACAGAGAGCAGGATCTTAGAGAAACAGCATAAGCTTCCTTGTCCTATCTTATGTCCATTTGCATGTTAGTAAAATGGACTGGAATTTATTGAACCCTTCCCAGGTGCAGATGCTTCTCATGAAACTCTGTTACAAATATTACAAACTCAAGGAAAAAACATGTTAACTACATCTTTGACAGGTGAGGAAAATGCTTTATTGGGAAGCTGATACCAGGGACAAAAAAAAAAAAAAAAAGAAAAAGAAAAAGAAATATGCTTAGGCTACAGCAAAACCGAGATCTTAATCACATCAGTCATGAGGGAAAATTTAAAGTTCCACCAGAAAGCGTAACTCTGCCAATTTATGCATACGCACTACAACAGGCTGCTTAATTGGATGATCAGTGTGATGACCTATCACAAAGCAATATGACCTGTTACTCAGCTAACAGAATGGCAACTTTTTCTTTTTTAACAACTGCTAGATGCAGACATACCATTTTACATGATTTTCCACTGTCATGTTCATGTAATAAAAAACCCATTTGTAATAAACACATAAAAGTCAGGATATAATTCCCTAGTGCCACTCCCTTCTCTTTACCAAGAAGTTTTTAATAAAAGTTCATTCCCCAGTCTTTAACTATGCAATGAAGGATGCTCACCAGAAGGCCAGGATCTTTCCCCAGCATAAGCAGCCCTCGTTTTCCTCATTCACCCCACAAAATCAAGACATCTACAGCATCTGTTTGCTTGTTTGTTTCTTCCATTCAACATTTCCAGTAGTCATAACCACAGCCACAGATATATTTCACCTTTTTCTATATTTCAGTACCGAAAGCAGAAGGATGTGAATTGCAGGCTGAAGAAAGATCACAAGGTTTGAGTTGGTAATAAACCATTTATGTCTTTTTATATTTT